TGTTGGAGGAATGCGCCATTTTCCTGTTAATAGTCATTAATGTTAGGGGAAACACAATTAAATTTTTGCCTGGTCCGATGCAGCATAGCGATTTCCATTTGCAGGAATGACAGCCAGTCTCCTCTCCTGTGGTCTGGCCTCAACTCTTGCGCCAGCGGCGTTGGTTGCAAAGCGGCAACCGGCTTTGGTGCTTCCCTCGGGAAACCAGATTCCGCATCGAGTGATACCTGCTCGTCGCGGCAACGCTGCCCACTCTGCTAACACCTCCACTGCGGCCTCAACTTCTTCCACAACCACGAATGTTCGTGACCGTCGAGCCTCTGCACCTCAAGGGGAAAGGGAATCGACAGTGCGCGTACGATTTGGCTCCACTTTTGGCATTCACCACGGTTCATTTCCGCACTGGACTAAAAGCGAGGCAGTGACTTCTCCTCCTTCACCTCCACTGACACAATCGTTATCACGGCAACAACAAGCGCCACCTTCCACAGAATCAAAGCCACTTGCTCTTCCATCGTCAAATTATGCCAATCATCTCCTCACCGATTTGGAGGGTGTTTCGGAATATTCAAGAGTCCCCTCCAATAAACCAAAGGACCAGGTCTCCTTGCCTTCCTCTTCGACTTCTTCCCCTCCTTCTTCCTCGTCTTCTTCCCCCGACTCGGATGATGGCACTTCCTCCTCCACCTTCAAATACCAGAGGCGGAGAAGTCGAGCTGTTCTCTATCACCTCTCAGGCCGATTTGACAAAAAGAACAAACACAACAAGCTCAATTTTAAAAGCGTTGTAAGTAAGCTGGCCAGTCTTTGCCATTCCCTAAAATCTAACATGCATTATTCGTCGTAATTGCTTTGCACCCTTACAGAAGGGGACAGTGTCAGTGAGGTAGGGGCGAAATTGGCCCTATGTCTTGTGCAGGTCTACGTAGGTAAACATCGTAGATGTAATTATGCAAGTTGTTTGTTCCTCTTCGATACTGTGCAGAAACTGGAGCAACCTAATCAATTTAAGCAACAAACTTCAAACCCATGTTTCAACTGATTGTCAGAGTTGGGATGTTTTTCTTTCGAAAAGAAGAAGCAAAA